CCGAGGGCTGCCTCCAGGCCCCCCCCGCCCCATCAGCGGAGGGAAGGTGGGCACACCGTGTCCCACGGCGGCCTCAGGGGCCAGCGGTCACCTTGGAAGTAGTCGCATTTGCCATCCATGAAGATGTAGTTCATCAGCACCACGCTGAACATGCTGGCGTAGACGTGGAGGTCACTGAAGACGAGCGTGAAGTTGGTCGGCTGCGAGGCAGAGAGGGTTTATTTGGGGTTTATGGGCGACCAGGACAGCCCCACGCTGGTTGAGGACTCGCATGTCACCCCCTTGAGCCCCCTCTGCCGCACGGCCGCACGTCCCCACGGCTGGGGACGCCTGACCCTGCTGGCCCTGCTCCGAGGGGAGGAGGTTCCGGGGACGGCGGCAGCGACCTCGACGCGTCTCATGAGCGCGGCGTGTCCCCAACCCCGCTGCGGGCGGTCACCCGGGGGCTACTCACGTAGAAGATGGTGAAGAGCACCAGGATGGGGATCTGGAGCATGCAGACCTGGACGGCGATGCAGTTCCCAATCTCAATGCTGGGGAGGACAAAGAATTTAAGAGCTGCAAAAGTACCAGTCTCCAACAGCCCCCGGGTCAGGAAAAACCCCCAACACCTCAGGGAACCAAACCACGCAGCCCAGCCTGGTTCCAGCCCCATTTCTGGGGTGATTTAAGTCTTATTGAGGGCGAGTTGGCAGGCATCTGACCCACCAGTGCCATGAAGCTGGGCAACCCAAAGCTACAGGACTGGGACAGGGCATGGGGACCGTGCTGGAGGAGAACACCCCAAAACCCATCCTCTGAGCCATCTCACCTCAAGCTCAGGTTGTTCTGCAGCGCAAACTGGATGCCGTTGACAATTTCCGGCAGCTCAGGCACCATTGCCAGCACGGTGACACCGATGAAGTACTGCGGGGAAGAGGTGACGTCAGCATATCCTGACCGCACCCAAGCTCCTCGGTGCATGGAGCATCTTTCCCCGTGGCTTTTGGGGCTCAACCCCCCAGCCAGGGCAGGTTCCCATCCCTGGAGGGATCGTGGTCCCCAGGGCCACGCTCACCTGGGAGATGGTGGAGTTGGTGAGGATGGGGCTGATGTGCTCCGTGGCCAGGTCGGCACAGGCCGACATGCAGAGGGTGGAGAGCAGGAGGATGACCAGGGCCCGCCAGCGAGACCAGTGGACCACAGCACTGTGGTGGTGACCAGGCACTGGGGGGGAAGAGCAGAGACACGGTGGGACACCCCGGGACGATAAGAGCCACCTCCGCAGCTGGGGCATCCCGCGGGTTGGGGACACTCACTGTGACAGTCGCTGATGTGGATGTCGTAGATGTGAGAGTGAGTTTTCAGGGTGAAGAAGAGGCCGATGAGGTAGGCGGCAGGGAGCAGGAAGGACACTGTGTACACCAGGGGTCTGTGGGACACAAGTGACGTGTTCAGTGCCACCAGGGTCCAGCACAGAGACCCCAGGGGGTGTCCCCTGCACTGGCGTGGGATGGAGGATATGAGGATGCAGGGTCAGAGCCCTTCAGGGGGGCAGAGAGGGGACGTGGGAGGGATGTAGGGTCACAACCCAGCCTGGGAGATGCCACCCACTGTAGGGACAGCTCTGTCTCCACCCCAGCAGACACTCACTGGACGTGACTGTAGTAGAGGGTGCCGTTGTTCCCCATCTGCAGAGAGAGACTGTCAACGGGGAGGCAGGGGACAAGGGACAGCCCCGCTGCCACCGCCAAGAGCAGGAGCCAGGTGGGCTCAAAGCCCAGCAGTTA